AGGTTCAGGAACTGCATATTCGCAAGGCGGGAGCAATCGAAGATAATGTCTACCGGGTTCAAGAAGCGATGGACGCAGTCAATGGCCTGATTGCTCAGGGTATGGACTGGGTCGAAATTGCCCGTCTCATTGAGATGGAGCAAGGCAGAGGAAACCCAGTGGCCAATATCATCAAACTGCCATTGAAGCTCTACGAGAACACAATAACCTTGATGCTCGGAGAGTCAGGTGAAGAGCAGGATGAAGGCGAGGACCTGTTCTCGGACGATGAGTCTGACTCAGAGGATGAGCAGGAAGAGGCCGCTAAGGCCCAAAAACAGTCAAACAACATGCTGACAATTGATATTGATCTCGGTCTATCTCCCTGGGCGAACGCAACGCAGTATTATGAACAGAAGAAGATGGCTGCCGTCAAGGAGCAGAAGACAACGCAGTCCTCGACCAAGGCGCTCAAGAGCCACGAGAAGAAGGTGACGCAGGACTTGAAGAAGGGTTTGAAGCAGGAGAAGCAGGTTCTTCGGCCTGCCAGAAAGACTTTCTGGTTTGAGAAGTTCCTCTTCTTCATCTCGTCGGAACGATACTTGGTCTTGGGGTATGTATCTTTCGTTGTGTCTGCAAGAATTAGAACTAATCTAACTGGAACAGTGGCCGCGATGCGATGCAAAGCGAAATCCTCTACCGCCGGTACCTTAAGAAAGGCGATGTGTTCGTGCACGCCGATTTACAAGGTGCCACGCCGATGATCGTTAAGAACCGATCGAACTCACCCAACGCACCCATTCCCCCAAGCACACTTTCGCAAGCCGGTAATCTTTGCGTAGCTACGTCCAGCGCTTGGGATTCCAAGGCAATCATGTCAGCATACTGGGTTACCGCGAGTCAAGTTAGCAAGACTGCTGACGCGGGAGGCCTCCTTCCCACCGGCGAGTTCCTCATCAAGGGCGAGAAGAACTTTTTGGCCCCCTCACAGCTTGTCCTAGGATTTGGTGTCATGTTCCAAGTGAGCAAGGAAAGTCTCCGGAACCATAAGCTGCATCGTTTCGACGAACCCGTGGCTACGGAAACGCCTGTGGAAGCCCAGGAAGCCGACAAGGAAGCTGAGGGCAAGCCCGTCGAGCAAGAGGCGCAGGTTACTAAGCCTGATGAACCTACTGGAGCGGAGAAGGAGCAGGAGCAGAGCAGCGAGTCCGAAGGGGAACCAGAGGACGATGCTGCGATCCCCGCTAGAAACCCGTTGCAACGCGGGTCGTCCGAGCCTACCCAGACAGAATCGGTTGCGGCGAACGAATCCCAGAACGCCCAGGCTGATGAGGCAGCTGACGAGGAAAACAAAGACGAAACCGAAGAACCGAACGGCAACAATGAAGACGAGCAAAGCGCTCAAGAAGAGCCAGCTGAGGGTGAGGACGAGGACGAGAGTGCGACATCGCCACAGACTCAAGATGATCGACAGCTCTCAGCTAGAGAAAGACGAATGGCTAGAAAAGGAAGAGCGTCAGAACTGGATGGACCTGCAGCGGACGGGGCATCTGTCAAATCTGCTAACAGCAAGCAAGCTCCAACTCGGGGTAAGAGGGGCAAAGCAAAGAAGGCCGCAGCCAAGTACGCTGATCAGGACGAGGAGGATCGGGAACTGGCTCTACGCTTACTAGGTGCCAAGAGTGCCAAAGCTGAAAAGGCAGCTGCAGAAGCTGAAGCAAAGGCGAAGCGTCAGAAAGAAGCAGAAGAAGCGAAGAAACGACGCAGAGCACAGCATGAACGCGCCGCGGAAGCGGAGCGAAAACGACAGGCTCTCTTTGAGGGTGGTGCCGATGACTACGACGAAGAAACTGCCGCCGCAGAAGCAGCAGACATGGAGTGGATTCCTGCATTGGTTGGAACTCCCCATCCGGAAGATGATATCTTGGCTGCTATTCCTGTGTGCGCTCCTTGGGCTGCCCTGGGTCGGTACAAGTATCGCATCAAGTTGCAGCCGGGTACCGTGAAGAAGGGCAAGGCTGTCAAGGAGATCATTGGACGTTGGGTTGCCGAAACTACAACAGGCAAGGTCAAAAAGGAACACGCCGAAGATGCTGGAATCGATCGTGCTACCGCTGAGAAGCTCCGCGCGAAGGAAGGAGATCTGATCAAAATGTGGAAGGACACGGAGGTCATCAATAGCGTTCCTGTCGGTAAGGTGCGCATTATGGTTGGGCCAGCACCTAGCGGAGGTGACAAGGGCAAAGGCAAAGGTGGCGGTGGTGGAAACAAGGGAGGAAAGGGAGGGAAGAAGAAATAGAGGCTGGACATAAGGATTGGGTTTCTTATGATCTACTCCGTACATGGTGGATGATCTACAAAGTACTTTGGAGGAAAACACCAGAGTATGACTGTATTAGTTGGTTAGCTGTGACGCTATAGGCGATCACAGCATATGCATATAGTGGACACTCTGCAAACGAGGCACCTTTAGACATATTGTCTCTCTCTTCCAGTTCGTTCTCGACGTACAATTAAAAGCATTGATGGAAAATAGAGAAATGGCCGAATCTGGACTGCGCTGCTTAGTCACCCACCGACGTCATCACGAAGATTTTCCATTCGATCTGCACTTTTTTTCTCTGACATACAGAGTTCAGCAACCCAACATACATTCTAGTCGCCAATTGCTCATTCGTCTGGCAGCAATCGCTCGGGCCGTACACACCTGGTGGAGCAGCCTGACAGGAGGTCCCCGAATCAGGATTTGCCTATGACCGAATAGCCTCGAAACGCGCGATACCCGTTCTCCTCTTTCCCCCCCACTACCGAGAAATTTGTATCGCCTTAATCTACAAGCCGTGACTCACCCCACGATCGCTCGTTCCTCTGCTCTGTTCGGGGAACGAATATCACCTGCCAATCTGGTTCTACTCCTCTCTCGCCTTACTGCTCGCGGTCTCCCGCGCAGCTTCGTTAGATTCGCTTCCACCGCCCCAGCAACAGCAACCATGTCGCCCAAAGCTTCCACCCGAATCGCATCGGTTCGCCGTCTCAACAACGAAGGCCCCGGAGACCGATCCCTCGCAGAGTGGTGGGCCAACGAACGCGATAACCATACCCCGGAAGCGGCCGCCATCGAGAACGCCGCGCAACTTCTCCGAACCAGCGATATCCCCGTTGCCTTCCCCACAGAGACAGTGTACGGACTGGGTGCAGATGCGACGCGAAGCGATGCAGTACAAGGAATCTACAAGGCGAAGCAGAGGCCGTCAGATAACCCGTTGATTATACATGTTGATTCGCTGGGGATGTTAGAGCGGTTACTCAACCCCACACAGGAAAGCCCATCGCGCAGGACTACTACTGCAAAGAACGCTATCCCACCCATCTACGACTCGGTCATTTCCCGTTTCTGGCCTGGACCTCTCACAATCCTTCTCCCTAACCCCTCCGGCTCCCCTCTTGCTCCTGAAGTCACCTCCAAGCTTACAACCTTTGGCGTGCGCATGCCCTCATCCCCGCTTGCACGCTTGTTGATTCATGTGACGGATCGACCACTGGCGGCTCCCTCGGCCAACGCATCCACCAAGCCCTCCCCGACGGCGGCGGAACATGTATTCCATGACCTCGAAGGTCGCATCGAGCTGATCCTTGACGGTGGTCCCTGTGGCGTAGGCGTGGAGAGTACGGTTGTCGATGGACTGTCCGATCCACCGGCTATTCTTCGACCGGGCGGGATTGGTATCGAGGAGCTGCGTACGTGTGCTGGATGGGAAAATGTACAGGTCGGCTACCATGACGGCACGCTAGATGCGAAGGAGGCCCCACGAGCACCGGGCATGAAGTACCGACACTACTCGCCCAAGGCGCGCGTGGTATTGTTCGAAGCCGACTCCGACGAGGAAGCCGTCGCAAAACACATTCGCAAGGACCTGGAAGATTCAGCAGTCGGGGCACACATGATCGGGGTGGTCCGCACGCAACACTGGAAGCGGGGACTGGGGTTGCTGTCCGCCGACGAGATGCAAAAGAGCCTGAAGCGTATCCCATCGCTCGTGGATGAGCTCGTAGGATTCTCCGTCCCGGTGAGCGACCAAGTCAACGGAAGCACTGCAACCAAGGAGACCTTCGACTGCCACCTCGGCACGGATGTCAAGTCGATCGCACAGGGCCTGTTCTCGGCACTACGGGCCATGGATGAAATGGAAGTGGACGTCATCTACGTCGAGGGTGTACCCGATCATCAGGGAGATCTGGCAGCTGCTGTCATGAACCGGTTGCGTAAAGCCGCTGGAGCGGAACTCCGGGTATAATAACTTACAACTTCTTCCCCTCGGAGGATTCATCATAGATCGCATTTTGGGCCCCATACATACACAGTACTTGCTATATTGGAGGATTTGGCTGGGTCGGCTAGAAGAAGCTATAAAATTACGGGACTGTTTACGAATTTAGCATGGATATCGCAGTTAGAATATTACTAGCACGAGTTTTAATATCAGTTTGAGCGTTATGATGGGATAATATGATGTGCAGGCATATCGATAATACCCAGTAGTAAGTAGTAGATATTGACATAAAGTTTAGGGCGGAACAGCTGATCCACAGGAAACCAATCTTCTAGAAAGTCCTTATCTGTCGAATTTGTGAGTAGTCTATCATATGTGTGTCTGTGTGCAAATCTCCGTTCTCCGGCTGCCTGCATCGGCCGTCTCCGACTCGGCGTGATTCCGGGCCTTAGTTGCGAATTAACGGCCTCCACAGGTCACCGGATCTACTCTGTATGCTAATATTCTCACTAGGCCCGGCTAGCTGCTTTGGGATTAGGATTATTTAGGCTAGATTTAGGCTTTATTTGAAGCATCGAATATAGAGTTGTATTATTATTATTAACATTATTTTTCTTTTTCCATGCAAATATATCTAGATTTCAAATTACTGTTCAACTTAATTTGCTCCAAGAATATGTGAATATAGTTACATGAAATACCACCCGTATCATATGTAACCCCATTGACCGAACCGTTAACAGAACCAATTTAGCGACCATAGCCAGGCTTAGTCAAAGTAGACATAACCACTAGCGTAATCATTGTAATCCGGGTCGAGTGCATCGAGCCAGACGAGCGAGTAGGGGCCCATGCGTGCGTGGCCCCAGTACCAACTGTCGACGTTGTCCATGAAGCCGGTGACGCCCCAGTTTTGGAGTCAGTTGTTAGGTATTTGTTTCGGTTGAAGGGGGGGGGGAATGTTGCGTACCTTGTCGTGGTAGCCCGTTCCCACGAAGCTCAACTCGGACCCGAAGATGGTCACATTTACGGTGGTTTCGGCATCAGGGACAGCATTGGCCCAGCTCCTGAGAGTACCTCCAGAGAGACGTTGCCTCGTTTGGGGCTGCAAGGGTAGTGGGGTGGGGCAATATGTGGAAGTTGATCTGTTAGCAATTCCTTGAACTCGTAGCAGATCATGTTTCATACTGACCGAGTGCATAGAGAAGGATCCCTTGTACCCCAGGTTCTCAGCATCAAGGGTCAGGACATAGTCCTGAAGATCGGGGCTGCCAGCCCACGAGATGCCGGTGTTGTTCCACAGACCGCTAGATCCATCACCGATGGTGGACACAATTGCATTATCGGCGAACAGGAAGTCGCTGAAGACAGTACCGTTGGGGAAGGCGCCGGAGATTTGGATGAAGTCCATGTTGGTAAAGTTTTCGGTGACGGTGAAGCCAGACCTATTCGCCTCAACGAAGAAGACGACGGCAAGAGAAGACACACCGTCGGTGCCGATGGCGTCAAAGTACCACCAGTCGTAGGAGGAAGCGTTGATGCCCTGGATCTTGGGACTGTCGAAGAAGTTGTCGCAGAGGTGAATTGGCCGTCTGCTTGGCCATCTTAGGGCGTGGTTTGGTAGGTTTGGATGCCCTTGACTGGTGGGCATTTCTGGGTGCTCAGCGCAGCAGCGCTGAGACAGAAGGGAAGAGTAAGATAAGCTAGCTTAGACAACATTTTGTAGAGTTGCTGCAGAGCGTGGTGCTCTAGAGAATTACAGGGGGGTTTGATGTGGCTATTTATGCTATAAGATGTAGTATCAAGCTTGGTTCATGGATCTTGATGACATAGTAGTATATGATGATCGGCAGAGAGAGCACAAAATGCATAAGATATACCTATACATATTCTGAGATATCCATATTTCGTTGCACTATTGTCTATTCATCATGCTATAGTTCACATACTACTAGGTCCAGCTGAAGCATTAGATATAGGCCGGGAGCTTCCGGTGTAGCCCTGAGTTCTTGGCGACGTCGAAACTTCTGACTCGATAGTGGGTCACCCCAAGATCTGTACTGTTATAAAGTTACTAGATAGTGGGTCGTGGCCATGTCGAGAGTCTTGACTCGCCATCTCTCATAGTGGAGGTTCACTCTCTTGCCTTGCCGTCTAGGTAGTAAACGGATTCGGATCCTGAAGCTCCGTACTTCCGAACATTGAGGACTTCAAGGTGGAAGTTGTTCATCCGTATCCGAAAGAATTAATGGATCCTACTATGTTTGGAGGTAGCAACATAGGGAACAAGAGCCATGGTGTTGCTGAACTCGAATAATTGTCATCGATTATAAATCATTAGAAATACTAGATGACTTGGGGACTTAGATGCCATAAGCTGAATATTTGTCTATATAAGAACACAGAGATTTAGGTCCAAGGTTGTTTTTCAGATTTGAATCTATAAGGAAGTATCTTAGTGGAACACTCTTCTTTCAATACACCTCTACTTCATCTTCAAGCCATGGAATCGCGCACTCTTCTCATAACCGGGGCTTCCGGCTATATGTAAGAATCTCAAGTCCTGAAATATCACCGGACCAAAAACAAAGTCTGCTAATTGAAATTACTTGCAGCGGAGGCTCAGTTTTGTCTGCCATCCTCAGGACCAAAGAAACGTGGGCTGCTAATCTGAAAGTATCGGCCCTGGTTCGATCTGAATCACAGGCTACAAAAGTCAAGGAGTTGGGTGTATCTCCAGAACTATTCTCAAGCTTCGACGAGCTGGATAGACTGGAAGAGGCCGGTAAAGGCTTCGACAGTATGTGAATGAGAATCCTCATTTCCACATGTAAAAGTTCTGCTGACATGATCCCAGTTATTATTCATGCTGGTGCTGGCTGGCACACTCCATCTGCGAAAGCCCTGATTAGGGGACAAGGTGTGCGGCGCCAAACTACGCACGCCGATGTCCACTATATCCAGATCTCCGGAACCGCAAACTTGAGCGATCGCCCGTATACAGAGGGGTATATTGATACTCATATTTTCTCCGATGAAGAGGATATCTACTCATATGAGAAATATCGCGAATCTCGCGAAACATACTTCCCGCGGTCTACCGACATTGCCGTGATTGAGGAGGGCGAGGCCGCTGGTGTGACTACTTACATTGTAATGGCACCTACAATCTTTGGTCTTGGAAGTGGGTCATTCAACCGCTTTTCCATGCAGCTTCCAACCATGATCGCGGATGCACTTCGTACAGGCAGCTGCAGTGTTGTTTCTGAGGGAGATACTGTTTGGAACCACGTGCATATCGAGGACCTGACAGCCCTACACCTGGTCTTGCTTCAGCACATTTTCCGAGGCATCAAGATCCCCTCTGGTCTAAAGGGAATCTATTTCTGTGAGACTGGAGAGCACTCACACCTGGAGTTCTCGGAATACCTGGCTAAGGCTGGCCATAAGTTGGGCGTTTTCCCCTCTAGTGAGGTGGCGAAGATTACTATCCAGGAAGCAGGCGAGAAATGGGTTTTTGGCAACACATCTATTGCTGAACTTGGCTTTGCCTCAAAGTATGTCTTTTTTTTTTTTTATCTTCTTCTTACGTATTCACTGTGATTGCTGACAGTCTATTCTCTCAAACAGCTCTCGTACAAAGGCTGTCCTCGCTCGCAACTTGGGATGGGCGCCCTCCCATGCCGATGGGTGGGAGAGCACGTTCAGCACTGAGCTGAATGAATTTATCAAGAATCCTCCCAGTGAACGAGACGTCCTCAAATATCTACAGAAATAGATATGTGGAGAGGTGTCATATACGGCAGTCGAAGAATAACCGACAATAGCCAACTAAAGAAATTGCTCAATGGCACTAGAACTCTTCTCAGTTGCTTTGATGTTTACCTACTGTGCCCTAGTCCTAATGTGGTATTGTATTAGGATCAGACTCAAGGATTACAGTACCTCAACACGCCATGTCTGTCTGTATAGGTGATCAGTCTATTGAAGTAATCAACCACTCTTATCGCTCTTGAATCATTTAATTGCCCGATCCTGTTCTCTTTTTCTCTCCGGAAGTACTATCTTGTAAAACCCCTGTCTAGATATTGAATAATAATGTTTATTTCTTTCCTTATAACAGAAAACTCTTAACCACAAAAAACAGTTAATCAATCCATCTGTGTCCCAAACTTTAACTAAAACTATACCTTATTCGCATCTGGCCTTATCTATTATATCCTGTGCTGATTCAGCGTGGCGGGAAAGGTGCGTGGAAGAGAAACGTAAGGCAAGAAGGGAAGAAAAAGAAAAAGAAGCTTATCGTTGTCTCGTGGCCTGACGAATCCACCCACCGGGCACGGAGTGGGGCCTCAGGAACAATCGCTGTTTGGCTGCGGGATTTTATCATTTGACTCAATCTGCGCTCCACTTTTTTAGCTTGCTTCGGACGGAGTACCGCTTTGGGATAAATACTTTCAAGTCATTTCTTGGGATGGTTGTGAGGATTATTTTATAATATAAGGTCGTGGGTGTCCTCGGTTTTTTACTTTGTGGTTTTGCGATTGTTCTTCTATATAGGAATACTATCTTTTACTATACTTGTTACACTCTACATAAGGAGATACTGCCTACAAAATGTGCCAATTCAACACTCCCCAAGAATCCCACTGGCACGCCTTCCTCCAAGGCCTGCCCAAATGTGAACACCACGTTCATCTCGAGGGCTGCCTCACCCCCGACCTAATCTTCGAGCTCGCCTCTAGAAACAACGTCCAACTGCCCCAAACCCCTGAATACACCTCCATCGACACCCTTACCGCCCGGTACGGCAACTTCTCCTCGCTCGACGACTTCCTCCACTTCTACTTCATCGGCATGTCCGTGCTGCACCACGAGTCCGACTTCTCCGATCTCGCCTGGGCCTATTTCCAAAAAGCGCACGCCGATGGCGTCCACCACGCCGAAGTCTTCTTCGACCCCCAGGTCCACCAGGACCGCGGCATTCCGTACGAGACCATCGTGCGGGGGTTCGTGGCGGGGTGTGAGCGCGCCGAGAAAGAGCTAGGTCTCTCGACCAAGTTGATTCTCTGCTTTGTGAGGCACTTGCCGGTCGAGTCGGCGGAGAAGACCTACCAGAAGATTCTGGAGAATGGGCACTTTGACAGTGAGGTTGTGCATGGGTTGGGGTATTCGTCATCTGAGGTTGGCCCGCCCAAGGATATGTTCAAGGAGATTTATGCCTCGGCTAGGGAGAGGGGGGTCAGGTTGACGGCTCATGCGGGCGAGGAGGGCGATCCGACGTATATTAGTACGGCGTTGGAGATGGGCGCCAGTCGTATTGATCATGGAATTCGGTTGGTGGAGGATAAGGTGCTTATGGAGAGAGTGGCGAGGGAGGGCATTCTCTTGACGGTCTGTCCGTTGTCGAATGTGCAGTTGAAGTGTGTGAAGGAAGTTGGGGAGGTGCCGATTCGGAAGTTCTTGGATAATGGGGTCAAGTTCTCGATTAATAGTGACGATCCGGCGTACTTTGGAGGTTATATTTTGGATAACTATTGTGCCGTGCAGGAGGCGTTTGGGTTGAGTGTTTCGGAGTGGAAGACTATTGCGGTGAATAGTGTGAGTGAGAGTTGGATTGAGGAGGAGAGGAAGTTGGAGTTGGTTAGGAGGATTGAGGACCATGTTGGAAAGTTTGCGCATTTGGGTTAGATTTGTTACTTGATGGTGTAGATGGGGGTTATGGAGTTGGTGTAATGAGTAGATGATAGATGCATATTTTAATAAAGCGTGATCTCAACTATCAATTAAACATTGTAGTGTGGACTGTAGCTCATTTCGTGGTATCTGGGCTATAGTTTTCTGATCGCATGCCAATGACTAAGATTGAAGTGTGGCCCGCGGCGCATCAAACACCAGACATTGAATCCAATAGCAATAGACACAAAGAGTATACTACTCCTTACTATTACTCTGGAAGATGCCGCCAACCATTTCCCCGCTGGCCTGTTGCACCCCCCGCACGCCCATCTTACGGGTTTCCCGCAACTTCCATTCGAACAGCTTGTCCCGGACATTCTCATCATCGTCATCATCATCACTATCCAGATCTCCGCTCTGCGTGTCACTACAAGCACCCTCTACGCGACCTACATCTACGAGCATCACCAACACAAACCCTCCCACAATCGAGAAGATCTCCTATCTTCGAACCTACCAGAAACGAACCATGTCTGCTGCTCCCATTCCCGACCGGTACAAACTCGTCTTCTTCGTCCCGCATTCCGACCTCGAGGCCTGTAAAGAAGCAGTATTCGCGACCGGAGCGGGAACTTTCCCTGGGGGCAAGTACAGAAAATGCTGCTTTCAGATGCCCGGTCAAGGCCAATTTCTGCCGTCTGAGGGTGCGAATCCTGCCATTGGTGAAGTTGGAACGGTCGAGACGGTCGAGGAGATGAAGGTGGAGCTGATGTGTCTGGGACGGTCGGTTATGCTGCAGGCGGTCGAGGCATTGATCAAGGCTCATCCGTATGAGGAGGTCGCGTATGAGGTGTATAAGATGGAAAATGTGTAATGGGCGGTTGGGGATGTCGGATGCGTTGCTGGGTTATAGGCCCGGTCGGTTTAGGTGTCACGAAGGCGTTTTGGAGAGATTGAGTTGTGGAGGTGCCTGTTATTAGTCCAGATGAATCTGCAAGCCAGATTAAAGCTGATCAAATAATATTATGAATTTTGGATAGTTGTTGAAGAAGCTGTGATGTTGCAAAAAGGCCGTCGAGAGGGTCGTTCATTGGCACAAGGCGGGAGTAATCTGTCGGCGCTGATTGGTCAGCCGCAGCTCCCGCAAAACGCCTCTTCGACTCCAAGTCGGTCGTTCACCTTCAATCCATCAGATCAAGTCCTCCAATCCCCTCCCCATACCCTCAGTCCCCTCTCCTCTGCCAGCAATGGCTTCCAAATTTTTCCCCGCCGTCCCGCGGACTGGCCGCCAGCTCTTCCAGCAGATCCCCAAGACCCAATTCAGACCCTTCTCGGCTGGTCCGCAACGCTTCAGCGACTCCCTTGCCGTGGTACGTCCCAAGCACTCTTCTGGCTGACTCGGAATTTGGCGGCATGTCGGATATTATCTCGCTTGCCAATTGCGCGTCAAAAAGCCATATCTTTTGCGAGGGCGTCATTGCTAACCAGTTGACTTTGTCCAGCACCGCAACAAAGGCGATAACAACCCGAATGTTCCGTTCAAGTTCACCGAGCAAAACCTCAAGCTCATCGATGAGATCCTCAAGCGCTATCCCCCCCAGTACAAGAAGGCCGCTGTCATGCCGGTCCTGGACGTTGGTCAGCGCCAGCACGGCTACACCAGCATCAGCGTCATGAACGAGGTCGCCCGTCTCCTGGAGATGCCCCCCATGCGTGTCTACGAAGTCGCAACCTTCTATACCATGTACAACCGTGAGCCGGTTGGCAAGTACTTTGTTCAGCTTTGCACGACGGTATGAAATTGGAGACACCTCCCCTTTTTACCTCGCGTGCCATACCTTTCCTCGTCTTCGTCATCGCTGACAAGCCATTTCAGACACCCTGCCAGCTCGGTGGTTGCGGTAGCGACAAGATCGTCCAGGCGATCACGGAACACCTGGGTATCACCCCCGGACACACTACCGAAGACGGCCTCTTCACCTTCGTCGAGGTCGAATGCCTGGGTGCCTGCGTCAACGCTCCCATGGTCCAGATCAACGACGACTACTACGAGGACCTTACCCCCGAATCGATGAAGTCGCTGCTCACCGCTCTCAAGGAGTCCGCCACTGCCACCGAGGCTGGTCAGACGGTCAAGGTGCCCGCTCCGGGTCCTCTGAGCGGCAGAGACACATGCGAGAACAGCGCGGGATTGACCAACCTGATCGAGCCCGTGTGGGACCCGGCTACGATGATGAGAAAGGACGGGGCTTTGGACGAGCAAACACAATAAATGAAGATAAACCTATAATTCGAGCCAGACAATATAGTTTCGATACCGTGTGCTGGATGGTTCCAATTCCTGTCATGTTCCCCCTTTCCTTTTTTCCTTTTCTGCCCTGGTTGGTGAAACTGGACGGGCCACCAGGTAACGCTTATGTACAGTACGTTGTTTCTGATTTCTCTCTTTTGCGTAGGGGGAAAGTCGGATATGGTGGGATTGATGTCAACTACCATAGAGGATCTCGTTAGCAGTAACCAATGCAGTTCTTTTCAATGTTAATCGGGATTTCAGAATCCATACCCTTGATCCTATTTCTGGGCTGCGGTGCTGAGGCATGAGGTAGTTACTGCAGCCCTAGGACTCTATATTAGATACGAGAAGAACATCTGACTGATTTGCTTGTGGTGTGTCTGCCCGATTTGGTCATGAATACCTTGGACATGCACTTTCCTATCGGGAGCTACTTCACGTGGACTGTGAACTACGAGTTCGTCTTGCTATCTGGGAAACACACATTCAATTTTCCTAATCACAGTGACTCGATGAAGTTAACTCTGACAAATAGGCACACACCAAATATGAACACCGCCCTTCGCTAATCCAAATTGCAAGGCGAAAAGCCAGAAAATTCGCGCACTACCATTCACTGAACTCACTGCACGAGTTTTCCCAAACACTCAAAACGCGTCGTCAAAAACCAAGGGCGGCCCCTCACACTTGATCACCTTGCCATCCAAGGCTTCTCCGTGAGCCACGAGCTCGGCCTTGCCGTCCCTTTCTATCAATATCTTGTCTCGGCGTTGTTGAAAGATGTTCACGTCTATCGTGTGCTTGGCCAGTAGGTGATAGACGTGAACGTGACGCCGTTGCCCATATCGCCGGGACCGTCCGATGGCTTGGGTCATCGCGGACTCATAATCATACTGTGTCTCGGCGTTCATAGGAGATAGAAAGATAACGTGATTTGCCGATTGAAAATTCCTGCGGATTACATTAGGCACAAGCTACTACAACACCAGGAGAGGGGGGGTGGCAGGGAGGGAGGGAGGGAGGGCAACTTACAATCCGGCGGCCATCTCCCCTCCAAGATTCAGGATCAACACTTTGTCTTCCTGCAAGCTTGCCTCTTGAAATTCTGCGATCTTTTGCATTGACTTGCGGTCTGTCGATAAGATCGCCGTGTGTTTTATCTGGGCGAGATCCAGTGCCTTGGACGCAACTTTGATGAGCTCGGGATATTGTATGAAGACAAGGGCCCGCTCGTCGTTGGGGATCCCGTTGAGGATCTCAATCAGTTTGTCCAACTTGCTGCCGCCGTATACTGCACTCTCATCGACGCTACCCTCTCCGAGCATGGACCCTGCGACGATATTGAACTTCTTTATTGGGCCGTGGCATTCATACACAATACACTCCTCTTTTGCCAACGTTTTTGAAGCACAATCCATGCACAGAGTATGGCCGCACGATCCTGAGACATTTGCGTTCTCGATACCTTGCAACCCGCAGTAACAACCATTGCATTGCGGAAGTCCAGCACCTGTTGTCAGAAGCTGCACAGCTGAGAGAAATCTAATGGCGTCTTTGCGCAGTTGCCATTCCCCGATGAGCCTCTGGATGGCTGTTATGGCTTCTCTCAGAAATGGTTCGGCTTCGCAAGCTCGCTCGGGCTTCTTGGGAAGCGAAACGTCTGTGTCATCGTCGTCGTTTCCAGAATGCTTACTGCCGCTGGTTTTCTTGGCCTGGGTTTGCTGGTTGCTCTGCTTGGCGACCTTGGGCTTGGAAGAGTCATCGAGGTCATCGTTGGCCACCGATTCACTGCTCTCGCTATCGTTTTCTGCATCAGACGAGCTGCTTTCATCACCTGGCACTGGCTCTTCAGGAACTTCAGGAATATCAAAGAAGTACACCCAGTCATCAACGTCCGATGCATCGAATGCTTCTCTCAAGAAAGAATAAACTTCTCGGGTGATGGCCATATCACCAAAATCGTCTCTGAAGAACATTTCGATGAACTTGTCAAGGTGCTCACAGTCAAATTCAAAACGGCAGTAAAGCCATGCTGCCAACTTCAATTCCATTTTCATTTCGTCTTTGAGATCATTGAGCTGATCCTCCCTGGTGGCGATCAGGGATGCGCATGTTGTTAGCTCCGGCTCGCCGTCTTCGTTCCAGCGACCATGAAGCGCTAGGGATGAGCAACGCTTGAGCAACGCCTCTTCGGCCGTTGAACTTGTTCCAATAATCTCGTCCAACCGGTTGACTTGGTCACTGCTGAATCTTCCTCGGCCACATCGACGGAGCTGGCGGTTGTATGTCATAATTTGCCTCCAGAGTTCCAGATAGATTACTCGTTCTGCCGGTGTTGGCTGGACCACAATTATGTGCTCTGACGATGGGATCTCGTCAATATCAGCAACATTCCGCCGTGCAAACCGGTCCAAGAACCTCTGGGCTAGATTGTGTCGACGTTCGTGCCAGATTTGGCTATAGGGTGCCCGTAACGATTGGAACGCTTCCGCAGCAGAGCGCTGCTTGAGTCGAAGCTTGACATATTTGTTTTGTAATCGACGGTCATCCTCATCTACTCCGAGATGCACGTTGAGGAAAGGTGCAATGCAGTTGACGTCGGCAAAATCATTCAGTGGCGGTGTCCCTGACAGTACCCATTTCGATCGAGCTTTGAGTGAGAGGAGCGGGCTGAGCCTTTCAGGGTCTGCATAAGTGAACTCATCTATGACAAGACGATCAAAAGAGAACATATGAAGAAACGGGGTTCTGACGGCCCCCCAATCCTGCATTCTGCTTTTGCTTATATTGAACACCTTTCGGTCGTCCCACTTTTTCGCCTTTCGGCCAGCTGTTTTGGGAAGACCTGGTCGGACTTGCTTGTCCTCCGTCGCAGAATCTTCATATTGAGTGTCATCGTCTGATTCTAATGCAGGTTCCTCAACCAACTCGTCTTTTTCATGACTCTGGATTTTGAGGTACTTGTCCGTTTTCGATCTCAGCATCTGGGTGTCGGTTTCGTCTTCTGTTTCGGTGTCCTCAGCACTCGATATCTCCGCAAATACCTCATGGCCCTCTTGTTCTGGAGCGTGGTTGCCTTTGACGTACTGACTACCACGGAGGCGCCGAGACGGGCAATATGTGAGATGTGTCTGAGAACCCTTGATAGTTTGTCGCTTAAGACGAATCGACGCGAGAAGCGCGCTTGGACCCTGGCTGGTCAAAATTCGGACTTGCTCTTTCAGTGCGACTTGAGCGTCTTTAAACCAGGCGTCAAAATTTCGCCCTGCCTTTTTGGGAGCCTGAGGAGTGCCGGTGAATTTCTGGAGCTTTTCATAGTATGCTGGGTTGTTGAAAATTGACCAGGATACTAGAATGATGTCACTCCGCCGAACGTCACTTATGGTCACTTTTGCGAATGAACCTGCCTGTGCGAATACCAAGACCTTCAATCTAGAACCCAGAAACTTGGAGATTTCTGATTGCCATTGCTGGATCATTATCTGCGGCACAACAATAAGAGTTGCCTTGCACGGAATAAACCCGTCAATTTCCGCAGGGGTTGGCAGGCACTCCCTTCTATGCTGCGTATCGATTAAGCCTAAGGTGATGGCTGTTTTTCCGTAACCAACATCATCAGCTATGACACCACCTCGAATAGCCTTCTGACTGGTGACTCGCCCCTCTGCGCGCCACATCAACGATGGAAGCAGCGCCTCCTCCGTCTCTTCTTCCGTGAACGGTGGGACATCATCATCTTCTTGCCGGACCATCCACGATAGTGATTTCAGTTGCTCCGGCCGCAGAGCCAGACGGAAGTTAGGCGGCTGAGAAGCTGCGACGTCAGTCTTGTTGTCTGTAAGCTTGAACTTGGGAAACATGACGTTTCTACTATCGAACGAATTCGGGACCAGGCGCCAGTGAAACGACACGTCTTTGACAATACTATTTTGCATCAACTTATCATACGCCTGATGCAATAGGTACTGGACGTTGAGAGTGACGCGCAAGTCAGCTAGACCCTGCTCATCGATCTTTCGGAAGATCAGGAACGGCGGGGGTCTTGCTTTCGCCTGGCGTTCATAGAGAGCTGCATGGTACGGATCTTCATACGCCATGATCCGTCCTCTACTGTCACGGCCCCATATGATGCGCGGTTTCAGCGGCACACATGTGCATGTCGGCTTATCGTCCTCACCAGGGGTGTCAGGGTTAGAGACTGCGTTCCAGTTCTCAAAGCCTGAGATGACTGCCGCTTTCTGTAGGAGCCAAGAGAGGTCCTGAAGCAAGGATGGTGAGTCTAATGGGTTTATGATCTCCCACGATTCTTTCTTCCAAAGCACCTCCATGGCTGCTGGCTGTGCTTTAAATGAGAGCAAAGGAATATTAGCCTCATGACACCCTGATCGGGAAATCGTGATGTTGGTCGCCTCATCCAACCTTTCGCATGAGATAGGTGCCTCAGGGAGATACAGGTTCAGGGCCACCTTGGGAGCTCTAATCCATTGACGGAAGTAGATGTGAACGGGCTGCGGAACCTCGCTTGCTTTGGGTGAACGCCATGAGTGGGACACCTCTGCGATGGTTTGTCTCTGTTCGTATCCGCGAACACGTTCATGGTCCCAAGCAAATACGAAGAAATCTTTATTTGCATCCCCGAGCTTCGTCGGATCCAGGAAGAGGAATACCGGGCGATCGTACTCACCAGCTGATCTTTTGTGCAGTGAAGCGTGTGCCGTACCGCAGTCTGGCAGAAGATCATACGTCCCCCGGATATCTGCCTCTAGGCCGACCACCGCTGAATCGGGGCCTTCGACTTGAATTTCCGACCAACGATCTGTTCCAATAACCTCTGCGGTTTCGAGGCCGCATTTAGCTTCATGCGACTCGACTTTCTCGCCAGATCCGGAGAAATATAGCGTCCGTCTGGAGCTCAGTGGCCCACAGATTTCCCAATCTCCCTCCAAAAGGGACGCAGACACAGGTGTCATGCGAGCAATTGGCTTAGACAGGATCTCTCGTATCAGACAAAGCGCAGGAGTATCCTTTGGAGGTTTGGCAAACAAGTTCCATTCAATGCTGGACGCACTGATCAACAGACGTAAGAAAGAGTGCTTGCCTTCATATTGGATGGTCCAGATCTCGCTACGCTTGATAGTCAGGATCCGGAGTTCATCGCCAACAGCTAGCTCAATGATATCCAAAAAATCTTTCCAGACATACGCAGGACAATGCAGCGACGTGTCGCGAGCCAAAGACGCATAACAA